CGCGTACAAAAAAAAAAAAAAAAAAAGTCAGTAGGTTTCCAAAGAGCTCTACTAATCTTAAGTTACAGAAGCATCACCTTTGGTGCAAATAATGGCACAGGCGTATCTGAGGTAATAAATAACATTTAATTTTCTCCCCTATTTTGGCTTTAATTTCTGCTACAGAACGTTAAACTAATTTCCTTACAGAACTCTAGGTTTAAACTCAAGTGTCCCCATTTTTAAGTCTTGGACTTTAAGCAAGGTATTTCAGCTCTCGGTATCTAAGTTTCCTCAATTAAATTACAAATGGAGATAATAATGAATGGTGTCTCTCCAGAATGTGGCTGAAGGTTAAATGAGATATATGCAAATCACTTAGACCATGTAGAAGCACTCACTAGCATTATTAGCGCTATTATTATATCACCTATTGATTCACAGAAGACTCAGTTCGACCTCTTGAATTCAGAGTGGTCACTGAGCACAGTGCAGCTCTGTTGGGCGCTGTGGGGTATGCAGAGATGAAGCTTCTGCCCTATGAAGAATCACAAAGATGCCCTCCAGTGTTTTCTAGCCAGTTACTTTGGTTAGAGTCCATAAATGCTACAAATGAAGATAACGTTTGAGCTTTAAAACCAGGAAATTCCCTTATTTATGTAACATATTTACTTTACAAATGACTTGTTAACGTGAATATCTACAGCAAGTCCTGATGTGCTGTCCTTACTCTGATTTTTCAAGTTGTCTGTTTAGTCATAATGGACCCAAGACATTGAACCAGACTTCATATTTTCTCCCAAAGAGGAAATTTGGGCTGGGGCTACTGTTGGTAGTTCTTTTCCAAGCCAAAGGAAAGAGAGGGACAAAGAAAGTGTCAGAGGAGGAAGAGGCCAACCCAGGATTCCTTACATGATATCTCTCCAGGTGGTAGCAGTGTTGACTAAGAACTCCTCTCAGTACTCATTGGTTAAGAAAAAAAATATGTCAGTTATTAAGTAGCAGATGCAGAGCTATTCAGTATTTAACATCTGGTATGAATGAACCAGTATAACTGCCTGAACATCAGCCCCTAGGTACCCTGATTTTTTACGGCTCCAACTATTATCTGTGTTGAAATGTATCTGTTTACTACTGTCCTACCTGATTAGACTGGGATGAAATAAGGAACAAAAAGGGATTTTTGTTCATGTTTCTCTCTAACACCAGCAGACTATAGGTTGCATAGTAGATTCTGTAAGTATATTTAACTAAATAAAGAGTCCCTGTTGGATGTGACACAGAGGCGGCACCTCAGCAAATGGAACTTCTCAGAGAAAAGATGTTTGTCACCTCTGAAGATGCACACTGAGAGAACTCAGTGAGGGTGGAGTAAGGGAATCTATCGGTCTGGTGCTTCTGACCCACTAGATGGGAATAAAAGGCCATTGAGAGTTACTTTAGATCAAGGACTGTAGGACAGGTTAATAATAATTATATTTAAGTGAAAAGTAGACTAGGTGAAAGAAAGAATAACATATCCCAGAAATACTCTAAAATGGTATTGCTCAGTATTTTTAATACCTCTTTTGCTAGGATCAAGCCAAAAATATAACACCTTTCTCCCATGTCTGGGGAGGCATTTGCCTGCCTTTTGGCAGAAACCCGCCATCTCCCCAAAGAAGCCAGAAAATTAATATGCCCGTGCATGGGTGCTGGGTTGCTCCAGTGGCATAACAGCAGCACTCTATGAAATGAACGCCTCTTTGCTCATTTTAGTTTATGCCTGGAAAATGTTGCTGTCATATGGTGAGCCAGAAATATACTCAGAGATGCTTTATTTCATCAGATTATCTCTTTTGGAGAGTACTGGTATCAGAACATCAGTGGATACAAGATTTGTTGGCATGGCAGAAGGAGCAAAGCTGAATTTTTCACTAAAACAAACCTGTGATTTGTTTCACCTTAAACAAGGGGATAATTGCTCCTCTAATTATAATCGAACTATTTCTCATAGGAGTCTAATTGGAGGAACAGGGCACAATGTTCAACATACTGACCCAGTTGTGCTTAAAAACTGTCATCTTACTTATCCACATTTGCATCTCTAATTAGCAAGTGGGAAAATATGGGGTGAAGTGCAAAAGAATAGATGATTTTGCTGAGTTTAGTCTTGCTAAACAGGAAAGAGATTTTTTTAAAGCAGCATCAGCTTTATCAGCGGAAAAAGCTGCTGGCAGCTGGAGGCCTCACCAAATGTATAGCATCAGGTAGCTCTCCATCTAATTGATTATTAATAGGGCCAATGAACATTTTGTTTCATGAGAGGAGTGCATGTTTTGCTGCCCTTCCCTCATAACTGGAACTTCGTGTCGACGCATTTCCATGCAGGTGCATTTTCTCCCAAGCTGTGCTTTATATTCCTTGCAGACAAAAAAGGTTTAGAGAGAAAAGAAGAGTTTGAATACTGATTTGGAGGGAGACACTGCTTTCAGTGCCCAGTGATATCTGCTGGAATTTTCTCCTAGCATGTGTGTAGCAACAAGAAGGGGTTTTGCTTATGAGATGAGTATCAGCCTTA